AAGGGTGAGGTTTATGTCTCCTTTCAACCAGCTTTTGATCGTTAGCCCCAAGAAGAGGAACGACCTGGCGTTACGGAGAATTTTCGCTAAATACGACCCCTACCAGTTTTCTTCCCCGTGGGTAGCCAAATATGGCTTCCCGTTGAAGATCCCCAGCAGTGTCTCCTGTGCTTAACATCCTCCCGTTTCTAAGTTCTCACTCTGGATAAAAAAGTTCCCAGTGTTGTAGCCCTGAATTCTGTTTCATTTGCGTGATAACTGGTGTTTGCAGCAACAACGAGAATATCTACCGGTGTTTGCGTGTCGACAAAAAATGCTAAATGTCATAAGGGAGAACAATGTTGTCATCATAGTCGGTGAGACTGGTTCCGGAAAGACCACACAGCTTGCGCAATATCTGCTCGAGGAAGGTTTCGGGACCACAGGTATTGATTTCATGGTTTTTGTTTCCTTGCAAAGACGTTTCCGAGGAGATCTATAGGGCTGCGTTCATACTTTGCGACGGGAGATTGAATGTCGGCGTATGGGGAGAACGCGCACAGAAAGCGTGATTGGTGTCGATTGGCGCTCGTTAGCGATCGGGAGAGGGGGGTGAGATTTGGAGAACCTGTGAATCGACGTTTTGGAGGAATGCGCGTTGTCTCAAAACATTGTTTGGCTAGCGACCGGCGCCGACTTGCGCCAATAAATTGGTACCCATCCACTTCTTTTTCGCGTATTTTACCAAAAAATCCGATTTGCCGAATATCCTGTTATCCCATTCTCCCGAGGCAAAATGTGAACGTGGCCTAAAGAATTAAAGAAGATCGGCCATCTCTTTGCTGCTCCAAAATGAATGAAGTGTGAGAAGCTAGGTAGGCCATTGATTTGAGCGGCTTGGTCTTCAAATCCTGAAGCTGGCTATAGCTAAGTATTACTAACAATAAAGCCGAATGTTCCTTTAAAGTGATGCCCGCGTGAGCTTTCCTCTTGGATGGGCCTGTAGCTTGACGCGCCATGATTCATTTCTATATGCGGCCGTATCCCATGCCTATGAAACCCCCATGCGTTTGGCGCGGATGACTTAAACAATCATCCTAGTGAGTAAAAGTTTGTTGTTATGGCCCTACCAGATCACCACTATGCCAGATATGCGATCCATTCCTTCTGATATCCTAAGGGGAACTTGACCATTACGACACAAATGGCCTAAACCCGGCATACCTCCTATTCGTCCTTTCTAGGAATCATCGGCTGCACCCAACCACGTCGAGTTGCCGCTATGAGTGTCGCCAAGCGTGTGGCTGATGAAATGGATGTTGAAGTAAGTGATTTTCCTTTTTTTACCTGCAATTAGACTAAGCCAAGGTCTAGAAATACTGTGGTTTCAGCTTGGTCAAGAAGTTGGGTATGCAATCCGTTTCGAAGACTGTACATCAGAAAAGACTGTCATAAAATACATGACAGACGGTATTCTACTCAGGGAATGTCTGGGTGATGGTGATCTCGATCAGTACAGTGCCATTATTATGGATGAAGCTCACGAGCGGTATTTATTGATACTTTTTGGTCTTAAAGGTCGACGAGTAGGCGAATCATCGCCTACTTATCAGAATTGCGTTGTTTATAAAGGGCTTAGTTCGGCTTGGTGGGGCGCCGAATGGTTCTCAGCCAATGGTAAGCTTATACAGGCCACCTAGTGAAGAGCTGTAAATTTCTGTGGTAGAAATGGCTCATTCGAACAATGTTGCAGCTCACACAAGTTTGCAGGTCTGATCAAGTGTGAGGCCTGTTGCCATGAACCAACAGAAGGAACTAGCAAAAGTAAAAAAATATCCCCTCCAAGCCGAACAGCGTCTCATAAAGATCATATTTTAGCATAACGAATAGCTTCAGTAGGGGAACCGTTATGATTTAATCTATTATAGTTCACTGAATACTGATGTTCTATTCGGTTTGCTTCGAGATGTGATTGCCCGACGGTCCGATTTGCGCCTGATTGTCACCTCCGCTACGATGGATGCTGAAAAGTTTGCGAATTTCTTTGGAGGTTAGTCCTTTTCATGACTTTCTACCCTAGAAAGGTGGTCCAGTTCTAGATGTCTCTTGAAGATCAAGTTGAATTTCCCACTATTCAGGTAGCTGTCCAACATTTACGATACCTGGCCGTACGTTCCCTGTGGAAATCTTCCACGCAAGAGCCCCGGTAAGATTTTTGTGATAGGATTTTGAAGTGGATGGCTTCATAATCCACGTCCACACTGACCGTATGGGCGGAGTCAGCCAACTATTGAACTTATTGGTGCAACCTCGTAGATAGGAAGAGCGCGCCTTTGAGAAGTCACAGTTGTTAGTCTCTATGCACTTACGACTAGCATGGACTGCATGTATATGAGTGAACTCGGATATGAGTTTTCATTTGTTTTTTTTTTATTTCACTGCTTGACAACTTTTATTTGAAATAGGTCGAAGATTATGTGGATGCTGCCGTCAAGCAAGCGATTACTGTACACCTTGGTGGTATGGAAGGAGATATCTTAATATTCATGCCTGGTCAAGAGGATATTGAGGTTGGTGCAGTCCCGACAGTGAGAAATAAGCAGTTTCTTAGAGTCTGTGACAGGCTTTCTCATGCAGTAGTTGTTCTAATGAAATTTACCTGCTGTAGGTCACGTGTAGTTTGATGAAGTCACGACTTGAAGAATTGGACGAAGCTCCACCACTTGCTGTGCTTCCAATCTATTCTCAGTTACCCAGTGACTTACAGGTACAAATTCACAAATTTGTTGATTATTGGAACAACTTTTATTTGATTAAAACTCACCTTCCAGGCGAAAATCTTTCAACGTGCTCCTGGGGGCAT